GGAAGGTATGTTCACTTCAGATTGAATATAAATAGATCAGCTTATGGAGTCCAGGGCCAGAATAAAACAAGATCCAAGCTTATATTGTGGGACATAGTCCTATTCAAGTAAACAAAAAGTCAGTTCCCATTTACAGATCTGGTCATCTGAAGGTCAAGACAAGAAAGAAACAGAAGTAGAAGCCAATAGAGGCACTCCATGCTTTCAACGGAAAGCTTCAAAAATCTAATATTTGCTATGTGATTCATTTGATCACGCAGATACTTTAGAAAACGAACAAAACATTTATCATATAAAGGAACTTTTGACACTGGAGGATATTGATTTGATTATCATATCATATTCCTTCTAGAAAAATGCTAGATTACTGCATGCCCTATCATATTGTCCCAGGGTGGATCAAACACCATGGGAGGCAGGTTTGGGTCAATGTTGATGGTGAAATTAAGAGTGATTCTAGATGGAAGTTTGATAAAAAAATATCAGTCAAAGATAATTGTACAGTTACACCAATTATGCCACATTCTTTTTACAGCGAAAAGATATGGAAACAATACTAGAAAACACAAGAATGAAAGAATGAAAGAAACAATATCCAAACAGGACAGGGTAATTTCACATTTTTTAAAAAAAAGAAATAGTGCTCTTTATCTGGGAGCAGTAAGCTTTAAGACTATCTTCAAACCTTCCCCCCTCACATTCCTTCTCTCTGTCTCATGCATACACAGATTAAAAAACTGATTAGTACAGCTGTTTAGGTTTTTTTTCTGTTTAACAACCAACAAGGGTGGCTGTCTTCCTCTAACATAAATAGGTTGATTAAATCTCATTATGCACAAGATTTCATTTGTCTGTAACTTTGATCCTACAAATAAAGGAAGGGCTGATAAACATCACTGGAGTGGGACATCTAAGGGTCATTTGAAAGATAATACTCCAAATACAATGCTCAAAAACAAGTTTGTATATAAGGTAGTTGAAACAAATGCTTCACCTTTTGATATGGTCCTCATCATTCTCCCATTTCAGTTCACTTGCAATGGGCTTGACCAGGCTACCAAAATATCTCTGAAAACAGAAGCAATAAGTGGTTCATGTTGGAATCTCTACATAGCAATCAGATTTAAATAGTCTAATTACATTCAGGAAATCTCTCGGGGGGTCGTCAGCATTAAGCAGAACATCAGCAATAAACAGTTGATTGTTACTTCTATACCAGCCATCAACATTAAGTATTGTCTACAGTATATTAGATATTAGGAATTTGTTTCTAATGGAAATGGATGAGTTTCCGTTATCACTATGGCAGTTCATAAAAAATAAGCATTTTTTTGAATATATGAGAATGAGTATGGTTAAAATATGTTATGAGGCCATAAAACCAGAGACTTTGCATTAAGTGGACCTTTGATAGTGACTGGAAAGTCACTAGAAGAGGTCAGGAGTCAGGAAACAAAGCAAGCCATTCTTTATCCTGCTGTCATTGTGTCTAGCCAGATAGCCTTCCCACTGTATTCGTTTCAACTGCACTATTGTCACAAATGCCTGCATTCTGTTGGGTAAACAACATTGTTCCAATGAAATAGTACAAGATTGCTGTTTCCTTGTAAGGAGCTGATATGAAATCTCTCTAACAACAGGTTATTTATATGTGTGAATGACCCTTGTTTCGCAGAAAATGCAAAGCTCTAAAATTCCCAAAACTTACGGTACAGGTAATTAACTCATTCTTAAGTCTAAAATTACAGAATAGCATATAAATTTTTATATTCTCCACAAACTAGCTTAGGTTTTTTCCAAGAAAATATTCTTTCTTTCTTTCTTTCTTTCTTTCTTTCTTTCTTTCTTTCTTTCTTTCTTTCTTTCTTTCTTTCTTTCTTTCTTTTTTCTTTCTTTTTTTCTTTTTTTCTTTCTTTCTTTCTTTCTTTCTTTCTTCCTTCCTTCCTTCCTTCCTCCTTCCCTTCCTCCTTCCCTCCCCACCTCCCTTCCCCTCCACCCTCCCTCCTTCCTGTAAAATTATTCCTAATCCAGTTGAGTAGCTTCCTTGCATTTATGCTTTAAAATACCAAGACCATTAATTAATTTATTTTTTTAAAAAAGGGAGATCCTACCATCTTCATTTCTATCATGATCACCAATATCACCCATTTCTGAGAGCTTTTGTAGAAATATTAATGCAAATCTGAAATTCCTTGATACAAAGCAATTTATAAATCGGCCACCTGTTCTTGCTCTGCCCCAGATTATATCTACATACAGGCACATAATTTGAAAAGCAAGCAAATTCTCTTCCTCCTTTTTCCTGCTGAAGAAGAGCTGTCCAAAGGTCTCCAGAACTCAAAAGCTTTCATGCTGTTTTGTGACTTTGATGTGGTGTGATACAAGTCTTTTTTTTCATGAGGCTTATGGATATGAAGGGGAAGTGATAGTGGTGGGGAGTGAGACTAACACCCAGGCAACATAAAGCTAACCTTGCTTCCCTGCCTTTCACATTACAAGTATCCACACTCCACAATTACCTAGCCATTCATAAGAGAGAAAAACTGGTGAGCTTAGGAGGGATGTCTAGATTGGTATAAGTACTACAAACACTTCTAAAATTTGATAAATTGGGGTCAGGTAGACCTTCTGAACAGGAACCTTCCATAGAGTGACACTTTACTTAACTTGTAATATACATTTCAGAAATGCAATAGTACTCATTTTTGAAAAAAAATGACTCCAGATTGATAAAGTCAGTTTTTCAGCGTTACTGCAGAAGACAAATGAACGTGAGGACTAGAGATTTTATTGTTGTTTTCCTGGTATATTCAGTTTCATAGGGAACTTTACCTGAAATTTGGGATAGAGTGCCTTATCATCTTCAACCATCTGTCCAATATAGGATACAGCTACTACAGCTCTTTGCCACGGAATATATTCTGTCTCGTTTTGCAGATATCTTGTAAGGTTTAATGCATCAGCATAATTCAGAAGTCCAGCTCTAAGGTGGGGAAGGAAGAACATGGAATATGAAGAAACCTCTTAGGAATTAAATCCGATGGATTATCGCTTGTTTATTAATTAATTATTTAGTTGTTGTTATTTGTTAGTTGTTATTCTATCCATAAGCCAGCACATAGAGTTTGATGATCCAATCAGTTAAAATAAAATAGATTAAGAGCACTGCAATAACAATAAAATCACATGTAACTTATAATATTTACTATACATTTTGGTATGCTTGTATGGGAAGCAGCATCACAAAACTTTGAAGATCTGACTATTAATAGCATTCCAAATTGCAAATTCAGTAAGTACATACTTTCCAGATTCAATGTTTCTAGAATTCATGGAGTATGTATACTGCAGAATCCAGTGATGAATGATGGCATCTGTTTTTTCAAAAAAAAAAAAAAAAAAAAAAACCAAACAAACCCCAAAGCTTCTTGGGGTGATAGTGAGAGAATAAAGCTCAAGGAATGAAAGGGCTAACTAGGACAACTTACTCTGCAGTAAGTTCCTCTGTGTTCATTGGATATTACCACAAAGTAAATGTGCATAGGATTGCAACCTTAGCAACAAGAAAATGAATTGTAATATATTTGCAGGTGTCAGTTCACATATGTTTCTTGGGGTAATATTATGTTAAATAGCTAACTAGTAATATAGCATCAAATAAACTGTGTATTTTATTAATTTAATTATAACACCTACCTGGCCAATGCAAAAGCATCATCTATAAAACCAGCACGATCAGCTAGATTAAAATTCTAAAAGGAGGGTAAAAAAAGAAGCAGATGGGTAAAATTAAAATACAGTGAATAATCATCTCTAAAACTGAACCAACGATTAATTTCAGCAGACTGACCTGATGGTCTTTCATCATAATATCAGCTAAAGTACGCCAGACTTGGGGTTCATAATTTACACGATAAAAACCAACATGATCTTTGTTTACTTTCAAGAAAGAATCGGGAGGAAGACCACTGGGTCGCGTAATAGTAATTCCTGTGGTGGTATCAACAACAAAAAAGTAGGGAATAAGTTATAAATGTATTACAAAGCCATGAAATATCTTTCCAAAAGACAAACTTTAGGAAACGCCAAAACTGATACAACACTGACTTTATTTAACAGGACTATTTTTTTAAAAATGCAGATAGAGAGAGATACCCAGAGAGAATTATTACAGGGAGGAGTTGACAATTCTCACCAGGATCTCAGCAAAAGTGGAAAAACTAAGATCCCCTTGCAATATGTCTCATAATTACAAGCCCCGGCTTATTCAGCGTTCTGCACGGTTCATTTCATATCTCATCTATTTTGAGTCTCTGGATGTGGGCAGCTGATCAACTCAATAGTGGAGAATTATGGGAGTTTCCTCAGAACTACTGGTTATTGTTTGTTCTCTAACATGTTTTTCAGCAGAACTGCACTGCAGTCATCTCCCTCCCTATTCCTTTTTTACCGTGTATAGCATTTAAACAGTGCCAAGAAAGAGTCCTTTCTTTAGACCAGGGGTAGGCAACCTTGGCTCTTTTATGACTCGTGGACTTCAACTCCCAGAATTCCTGAGCCAGCCAGCTGGCTCAGGAATTCTGGGAGTTGAAGTCCACGAGTCATAAAAGAGCCAAGGTTGCCTTCCCCTGCTTTAGACTGGGTTCACATAATATACTAGCCTAAATTAAAGAAGGCTTGGATAGCTATTGTTCTTTATGAGAATTCAGCCGTTGTTTTTGCACGTTGTACAAGTTGAGCCATCCCTATTTAGGCATTGAATACCATATTGAATTAGACTAAAATGTGGCTGGAGAGAAAAGGGCTAAATTTTGATGCTTAATGGAGTACAGATAAACTGATAGTCTCTGACAGACATTTCAAAAAAGGAAAACGAATGGCTGCTAAATTCATAGGGTACATAGTATCTAATTTGATCATGGTTGCCTGATGTAGTCTATTCTAAAAAAGAATAACAACATAATGCATTCACTTTAAGCTATAAAGTCTGTAATTCATTCACAAATCAATATGATGGTACATCTGAGTTTCAGATTAGCCATCTTTGTGACCGATAATCAGAGATTATTTTGCAACATCTACTGCAGAGACCAAATTGGACTAAAAATTTGAGCACAAGCGTGCACAGATAGGGTGGAATATATTGTATCAGGGGAAGGGAAGAGAATTACACCCCTGAATCAATCAACTTGGGATGGAGAAACAAGGTGCAACCACCTATCTATGTAAAGCAGTCTTTCTTGACCTGCACGTTTCACACTGCATAGAATGCAAGGAAAGATTATTCCTCTTTCTCTCCACCAGAGACTCATTTGAGTGGATAGAGCTGAGCTATCCAGTTTGTGATGTGGGTCATAGTGGTTGTTTTCCACCAAGTAGATATGAAAACAATTTTTTTTATATTTATGTTTATTATTGTATAATAGAGTTAAAGTATGTTAATATTTGATTGTATAAAAATGTATATAACATATAAATTATAATACATAAATAAGAATAATAAAAAATCTAATCAAAAGCTATATAATAATTATTCATTTCATACTTTCTCTGAATATAATCTATCCATCTTCTCCAAACCAAAATAAATTTCTCTTGAGTTTGATCTTTCAAATATGCGGAAATCTTGGCCATTTCTGCAAAATACGACANGGAAGGTATGTTCACTTCAGATTGAATATAAATAGATCAGCTTATGGAGTCCAGGGCCAGAATAAAACAAGATCCAAGCTTATATTGTGGGACATAGTCCTATTCAAGTAAACAAAAAGTCAGTTCCCATTTACAGATCTGGTCATCTGAAGGTCAAGACAAGAAAGAAACAGAAGTAGAAGCCAATAGAGGCACTCCAAGCTTTCAACGGAAAGCTTCAAAAATCTAATATTTGCTATGTGATTCATTTGATCACGCAGATACTTTAGAAAACGAACAAAACATTTATCATATAAAGGAACTTTTGACACTGGAGGATATTGATTTGATTATCATATCATATTCCTTCTAGAAAAATGCTAGATTACTGCATGCCCTATCATATTGTCCCAGGGTGGATCAAACACCATGGGAGGCAGGTTTGGGTCAATGTTGATGGTGAAATTAAGAGTGATTCTAGATGGAAGTTTGATAAAAAATATCAGTCAAAGATAATTGTACAGTTACACCAATTATGCCACACTCTTTTTACAGCGAAAAGATATGGAAACAATACTAGAAAACACAAGAATGAAAGAATGAAAGAAACAATATCCAAACAGGACAGGGTAATTTCACATTTTTAAAAAAAAATAAATAGTGCTCTTTATCTGGGAGCAGTAAGCTTTAAGACTATCTTCAAACCTTCCCCCTCACATTCCTTCTCTCTGTCTCATGCATACACAGATTAAAAAACTGATTAGTACAGCTGTTTAGTTTTTTTTTTCTGTTTAACAACCAACAAGGGTGGCTGTCTTCCTCTAACATAAATAGGTTGATTAAATCTCATTATGCACAAGATTTCATTTGTCTGTAACTTTGATCCTACAAATAAAGGAAGGGCTGATAAACATCACTGGAGTGGGACATCTAAGGGTCATTTGAAAGATAATACTCCAAATACAATGCTCAAAAGCAAGTTTGTATATAAGGTAGTTGAAACAAATGCTTCACCTTTTGATATGGTCCTCATCATTCTCCCATTTCAGTTCACTTGCAATGGGCTTGACCAGGCTACCAAAATATCTCTGAAAACAGAAGCAATAAGTGGTTCATGTTGGAATCTCTACGTAGCATTCAGATTTAAATAGTCTAATTACATTCAGGAAATCTCTCGGGGGTCGTCAGCATTAAGCAGAACATCAGCAATAAACAGTTGATTGTTACTTCTATACCAGCCATCAACATTAAGTATTGTCTACAGTATATTAGATATTAGGAATTTGTTTCTAATGGAAATGGATGAGTTTCCGTTATCACTATGGCAGTTCATAAAAAATAAGCATTTTTTTGAATATATCAGAATGAGTATGGTTAAAATATGTTATGAGGCCATAAAACCAGAGACTTTGCATTAAGTGGACCTTTGATAGTGACTGGAAAGTCACTAGAAGAGGTCAGGAGTCAGGAAACAAAGCAAGCCATTCTTTATCCTGCTGTCATTGTGTCTAGCCAGATAGCCTTCCCACTGTATACGTTTCAACTGCACTATTGTCACAAATGCCTGCATTCTGTTGGGTAAACAACATTGTTCCAATGAAATAGTACAAGATTGCTGTTTCCTTGTGAGGAGCTGATATGAAATCTCTCTAACAACAGGTTATTTATATGTGTGAATGACCCTTGTATCGCAGAAAACGCAAAGCTCTAGAATTCCCAAAACTTACGGTACAGGTAATTAACTCATTCTTAAGTCTAAAATTACAGAATAGCATATAAATTTTTATATTCTCCACAAACTAGCTTAGGTTTTTTCCAAGAAAATATTCTTCCTTCCTTCCTTCCTTCCTTCCTTCCTCCTTCCCTTCCTCCTTCCCTCCCCCCCTCCCTTCCCCTCCCCCCTCCCTCCTTCCTGTAAAATTATTCCTAATCCAGTTGAGTAGCTTCCTTGTATTTATGCTTTAAAATACCAGGACCATTAATTTATTATTTTTTTTAAAAAAAGGGAGATCCTACCGTCTTCTTTCTCCATTTCTATCATGATCACCAATATCACCCATTTCTGAGAGCTTTTGTAGAAATATTAATGCAAATTTGAAATTTCTTGATACAAAACAATTTATAAATCGGCCACCTGTTCTTGCTCTGCCCCAGATTATATCCACATACAGGCACATAATTCGAAAAGCAAGCAAATTCTCTTCCTCCTTTTTCCTGCTGAAGAAGAGCTGTCCAAAGGTCTTCAGAACTCAAAAGCTTTCATGCTGTTTTGTGACTTTGATGTGGTGTGATACAAGTCTTTTTTTTTCATGGGGCTTATGGATATGAAGGGGAAATGATAGTGGTGGGGAGTGAGACTAACACCCAGGCAACATAAAGCTAACCTTGCTTCCCTGCCTTTCACATTACAAGTATCCACACTCCACAATTACCTAGCCCAGTGATGGCGAACCTTTTAGAGACCAAGTGCCCAAACTGCAGCCCAAAACCCACTTATGCATTGTTGGGTGCCGGGTGGGTGTGGCCCATTGGGTGGGTGTGGCCCATTGGGTGGGCATGGCTACGGTGGTAACGGCAGACTGGGTGGGACTAAAAAATTCAATCAATCAATTCCAACTTTGCAAGATCTTTTTTTTCCCCACGAGAAGTTGAAATTGACTGATTGATTGAACTTTTTTTTTTTTGCACACGGCGGCGGAGGCCTAAAGTGAAAAGGTTTTATAAAACCCAGCTGATGGTCTAGGACTGGGGTGACGGAGGGCTCTGAGTGCCACCTCTGGCACCCGTGCCATAGATTCGCCACCACTGACCTAGCCATTCATAAGAGAGAAAAACTGGTGGGCTTAGGAGGGACGTCTAGATTGGTATAAGTACTACAAACACTTCTAAAATTTGATAAATTGGGGTCAGGTAGACCTTCTGAACAGGAACCTTCCATAGAGTGACACTTTACTTAACTTGTAATATACATTTCAGAAATGCAATAGTACTCATTTTTGAAAAAAAAATGACTCCAGATTGATAAAGTCAGTTTTTCAGCGTTATACTGCAGAAGGCAAATGAACGTGAGGACTAAGAGACTTTATTGTTGTTTTCCTGGTATATTCAGTTTCATAGGGAACTTTACCTGAAATTTGGGGTAGAGTGCCTTATCATCTTCAACCATCTGTCCAATATAGGATACAGCTACTACAGCTCTTTGCCACGGAATATATTCTGTCTCGTTTTGCAGATATCTTGTAAGGTTTAATGCATCAGAATACTTCAGAAGTCCAGCTCTAAGGGGGGAAAGAAGAACATGGAATATGAAGAAACCTGTTAGGAATTAAATCCGATGGACTATCGCTTGTTTATTAATTAATTATTTAGTTGTTGTTATTTGTTAGTTGTTATTCTATCCATAAGCCAGCACATAGAGTTTGATGATCCAATCAGTTAAAATAAAATAGATTAAGAGCACTGCAATAACAATAAAATCACATGTAACTTATAATATTTACTATACATTTTGGTATGCTTGTATGGGAAGCAGCATCACAAAACTTTGAAGACCTGACTATTAATAGCATTCCAAATTGCAAATTCAGTAAGTACATACTTTCCAGATTCAATGATTCTAGAATTCATGGAGTATCTATACTGCAGAATCCAGTGATGAATGATGGCATCTGTTTTTTCAAAAAAAAAAAACCCAAACCCCAAAGCTTCTTGGGATGACAGTGAGAGAATAAAGCTCAAGGAATGAAAGGGCTAACTAGGACAACTTACTCTGCAGTAAGTTCCTCTGTGTTCATTGGATATTACCGCAAAGTAAATGTGCATAGGATTGCAACCTTAGCAACAAGAAAACGAATTGTAATATATTTGCAGGTGTCAGTTCACATATGTTTCTTGGGGTAATATTATGTTAAATAGCTAACTAGTAAGATAGCATCAAATAAACTGTGTACTTTATTAATTTAATTATAACACCTACCTGGCCAATGCAAAAGCATCATCTATAAAACCAGCACGATCAGCTAGATTAAAATTCTAAAAGGAGGGGGAAAAAAGAAGCAGTTGACATCAGATGGGTAAAATTAAAATACAGTGAATAATCATCTCTAAAACTGAACCAACGATTAATTTCAGCAGACTGACCTGATGGTCTTTCATCATAATATCAGCTAAAGTACGCCAGACTTGGGGTTCATAATTTACACGATAAAAACCAACATGATCTTTGTTTACTTTCAAGAAAGAATCGGGAGGAAGACCACTGGGTCGCGTAATAGTAATTCCTGTGGTGGTATCAACAACAAAAAAGTAGGGAATAAGTTATAAATGTATTACAGAGCCATGAAATATCTTTCCAAAAGACAAACATTAGGAAAAGCCAAAACTGATACAACACTGACTTTATTTAACAGGACTATTTTTAAAAAATGCAGATAAAGAGAGATACCCAGAGAGAATTATTACAGGGAGGAGTTGGCAATTCTCACCAGGATCTCAGCAAAAGTGGAAAAACTAAGATCCCCTTGCAATATGTCTCATAATTACAAGCCCCGGCTTATGCAGCCTTCTGCACGGTTCATTTCATATCTCATCTATTTTGAGTCTCTGGATGTGGGCAGCTGATCAACTCAATAGTGGAGACTTATGGGAGTTTCCTCAGAACTACTGGTTATTGTTTGTTCTCTAACATGTTTTTCAGCAGAACTGCACTGCAGTCATCTCCCTCCCTATTCCTTCTTTACCGTGTATAGCATTTAAACAGTGCCAAGAAAGAGTCCTTTCTTTAGACCAGGGGTAGGCAACCTTGGCTCTTTTATGACTCGTGGACTTCAACTCCCAGAATTCCTGAGCCAGCTATGCTGGCTCAGGAATTCTGGGAGTTGAAGTCCACGAGTCATAAAAGAGCCAAGGTTGCCTTCCCCTGCTTTAGACTGGGTTCACATAATATACTAGCCTAAATTAAAGAAGGCTTGGGTAGCTATTGTTCGTTATGAGAATTCAGCCGTTGTTTTTGCACGTTGTACAAGTTGAGCCATCCCTATTTAGGCATTGAATACCATATTGAATTAGACTAAAATGTGGCTGGAGAGAAAAGGGCTAAATTTTGATTCTTACTGTAGTACAGATAAACTGATAGTCTCTGACAGACATTTTAAAAAAAGGAAAACGAATGGCTGCTAAATTCATAGGGTACATAGTATCTAATTTGATCATGGTTTGCCTGATGTAGTCTATTCTAAAAAAGAATAACAACAGAATGCATTCACTTTAAGCTAGAAAGTCTGTAATTCATTCACAAATCAATATGATGGTGCATCAGTAATTTCTGAGTTTCAGATTAGCCATCTTTGTGGCCGATAATCAGAGATTATTTTGCAACATCTACTGCAGAGACCAAATTGGACTAAAAATTTGAGCACAAGCGTGCACAGATAGGGTGGAATCTATTGTATCAGGGGAAGGGAAGAGAATTACACCCCTGAATCAATCAACTTGGGATGGAGAAACAAGGTGCAACCACCTATCTATGCAAAGCAGTCTTTCTTGACCTGCACGTTTCACACTGCATAGAATGCAAAGAAAGATTCTTCCTCTTTCTCTCCACCAGAGACGCATTTGAGTGGATAGAGATGAGCTATCCAGTTTGTGATGTGGGTAATAGTGGTTGTTTTCCACCAAGTAGATATGAAAACAATTTTTTTTATATTTATGTTTATTATTGTATAATAGAGTTAAAGTATGTTAATATTTGATTGTATAAAAATGTATATAACATATAAATTATAATACATAAATAAGAATAATAAAAAATCTAATCAAAAGCTATATAATAATTATTCATTTCATACTTTCTCTGAATATTATCTATCCATCTTCTCCAAACCAAAATAAATTTCTCTTGAGTTTGATCTTTCAAATATGAGGAAATCTTGGCCATTTCTACAAAATACGACACCTTCAGTCTCCAGTCATCCATAGTAGGTAATACATCCTTCTTCCAATTTTGAGCAACCAATAATATTGCTGCTGTTATACAGTACAACATCAGATTCATTTCTTTAAGATCCAAATTTTCCATAATACCCAATAAAAATAATTGCGGTGTAAATTTTATCTTTTTCTTAAAAATCTGTTGGATGTTCCACCAGAAAACAATTGTGCCTTTTTTCTCACATTCCCATATTCACCATATTGTGAAGTATGCGGATGATACAACAGTAGTGGGCCTTATTCAAGATGACAATGAGGGTGCTTACCGCAAGGAGGTTGAGGGTTTGGTGAACGGGTGTAAGGAAAACAGCCTAGTTTAAACATTGATCAAACCAAAGAGATTGTCAATTTCAGAAAAGACAGGCATAGCCACACTCCTCTGTGCATTAATGATTCACCTGAGGAGATGGTTACCAACATCAAATTCCTGGTGTGCAGATAATGAATAGGTTGGCTTGGTCGCTCAACAGTGAGACACTGGTGAAGCGGGCACAGCAGCGCCTGCATTTTCTGCGTCACATGAGAAAAGCATATCTTCCTTCTTCCATCCTTACCACTTTCTACAGAGGGACCATCGAGAGCATCCTGTCATACAGTATCACAGTCTGATTTGGAAGCATCACTGCTTCAGTCAGGAAGGCAGTGCAGAGAGTGGTAAGGATGGGTGAAAAGATTATTGGCAGTTCCCTCCCTTCCATCCAGGACATAGCACATAAGCATTGCTTGAGCAGGGTCTGCAAGACTGTCTGGGACACTACACATCCTCTTCACAAACTGTTTTCCTTGTTACCTTTTGGGAGGAGGCTCCGTGGAATTCAGAGCAGAACATCCAGATTCAGTCACAGTTTTGTTCCATACAGTATTAATCTTGTGAACTCTAAAGCTTCCTCTTTCCATTATGGACAGTGATTAATATTTATATGTTACTTATATGTAAGGCTGTAGGTCTATGCATATGTTGTACATAGTATGTTTAAATGTGGATTATGTATGTGTATACTTTGAGAGCAAGCAACTAAATTTCATTTTTAATGTGTGCCACTGTGCCACAGTAAAAAATGACAATAAAGGTTATCTGTCTGTCTGTCTGTCTGTTTATCTATCTATCTATCTATCTATCTATCTATCTATCTATCTATCTATCTATCTATTTATCTATCTATCTAAAAGCAAAGTCAGAACTATAGATAAAATCAAACAGTAAAAGCAATAAATAAATGTTTTTGCAGTAGGATTTCTGAAACAGCTATAAAGAGATAAATGAGCACTGTAAGCATGTTGTTATGCCAGCCTGCATTCCTAGCTTGCCAGACTGAGAATACACATTTCCCATGTTAAGCAGAATCAGCATTGGGAGAGGTATGCTTTCTGTCACATAGATGCCCCAATTTCTCTCCCTTTGCTACATTTAGCAGGATTTGAATCCGTAAGAAAGAAGAAGAAGAAGAAGAAGAAGAAGAAGAAGAAGAAGAAGAAGAAGAAGAAGAAGAAGAAGAAGAAGAAGAAGAAGAAGAAGAAGAAGAAGAAGAAGAAGAAGAAGAAGAAGAAGAAGAAGAAGAAGAAGAAGAAGAAGAAGAAGAAGAAGAAGAAGAAGAAGAAGAAGAAGAAGAAGAAGAAGAAGAAGAAGNAGCTTCATCTGAGCAGGGAAAAATAGGAGCGAACCATAACAGTTGCAGGAATTGAGTATGACCAGTCTAGAGAAAAGAAGGACTACGGGTGACATGATAGCAATATTCCAGTATTTGAAGGGTTACCACAAAGAAGAGGGGGTTAACTTATTGTCCAAAGCACCAGAAGGCAAGACAAGAAACAACAGATAAAAACTAATCAAGGAGAGAAGCAACCAGGAATGAAGGAGAAACTTCCTAACAGTGAGGACAATTAACCAGTGGAACAATTTGCCTTCAGAAGTTGTGGGTGCTTCATCACTGGAGGTTTTTAAAAAGAGACTGGACAGTCACTTGTTTGAAATGGTATAGGGTCTCCTGCTTGAGCAGGGGGTTGGACTAGAAGACCTCCAAGGTATCTTCCTACTCTATTCTGATTGATTGATTGATTGATTGATAATTGTAGCCACCTGGAGACACTTACGGGTGAGTAATTTCAAGACAGAAAGACAGACAGCAGACATATGAAGGAAAAAAAGGAAAGAAAAGATGAAGGAAAGAAGAAAGAAAGAAAGAGAAAGAAAGAAAGAAAGAAAGAAAGAAAGAAAGAAAGAAAGAAAGAAAGAAAGAAAGAAAGAAAGAAAGAAAGAAAGAAAGAAAGAAAGAATACCTCCCATAGCTCTAATAAATGGCTTGAATTATCCCCCAAAATATCAAGGGTGATCCAGGGAAAAGCAGAGCAGTTTGTTTATGCAGAAATAGATAATTTTTTTACCCAGAAAATCTGCATTAACCAATTTTATTTTGTTGTGTATATTAGATTAATTTTTCATCTTTTTTGCTTTGGGCTCAGTCCAAATGTGGATTAGGATATACGTTTCCCAGCTACACATTTTGAATAAAGTTGATGAACATGACTTTATTTTCCGTATTAAATTTAGAACAGTGCAAGATTGATCTGAGTATTAAACTAGCATTTTGTAACAGACCAGCGCCATCTTGTGGTGTTACTGGAACATGCATCTTGTTTTGTAACGTTTCCTCCCCCCCCCCCCGCATTTAAGCATTTTGGAAGTTATCTGTTTTATCAAGCCGTTTCTCCCTTTCCCTTCTTTAAGAGACAATAGTGTTAATATTTTAAGTATAAATAGGTTTTGTATTTGATCGTTTTACTTTTTAATAAAAACTGATTTTGTTTACTTTTGTAAGAACCAGCAATGTAGGCCCTATCTGAATCAAAGACTCTAATTGGGGAAAAACACCAAGCAAGGTGCTTCATGGAAAATCAATAGTCACAGCAGCAACTCCCCAAAGCAAAAAGTTGGTTGTGTAGTCCCAGAGGTCTGCAGCCCTTTACCTTTTGGGGCCAGACACCATTATAATGTGACTTTTCTCATATAACCTTGTTGCATAAAGAATAATAATAAACAAGCAACCAAGTAGCCTAGATCCAAGCCATACAGGATCTTAAGGGTTATAAGCAGAGCTTTGTAATCCTTCCATAAATAAATGATAAATTGATATAGTATTTCTTGCACTATTTGGAGACTAGCATGCCTGCTAAGTTCTGTATTCCATATTCAGGACAATTGTGCTGTTCTGTATTCACTGAAAATTTCAAACTAGACACATAATAAGTCCTATATAAGGCATATTACATTATTAAGAAATGGTCAACTCTACCAAGAATAATGAAGGAGCCAACTGAAGCCATAAGCCAGGATGGACAATGATTACGGTGACTAGCTTCGATAGTCCTTCATTATGCGTAAGATGAGGCCCCCCTGCTCCTTTGCTTTTTGGAGTGACTTGCTACCTTAACTGGTTATCCTGTATGTTGCTCTGATGGGGTCCTCAAAGCAATTCATTGAGAGATGAATAAGGTAATTTGCCTGCACAGACAGCTATCAATAATATCTCAAAAATTTTCTATCAAAGATTTTAAAGGCTTGTAGAGTTGGGACATTGCTATCACCTGAGAAGGAGCTGTGAAAAGAACAATCATTCCTCTTCGTAATTCAGATGGTGAATTCTTTTGGGCCACCTTGCTCTTTCAAAAGAAACTCCTATTAAGTCAATGCCGTTTACTCTGTTTTGTATAGGCTTGGAAACTAAGCTGGATTTGGCCTGGTTATACCTAAATGGGACCTCACCAAGGAATTCCACCCTATAGGAGAGACTGGAATTTGAGAAAACAGTTCAAAGGAAAGCAATGACAAACCACCTTGGTATGTGATTCAAAGAAATATTTACTTTGTGAATAGTTACTATCCATTAGCTCCGATTACCTGCTAAATCTGATTTATTGTAGAATGTTATACTTGATGTATTCCCCTCTTCCCATTTCACTGGAATATTCCACTTGTAACTGAAAATTCAGAAAGGCATATTTTTAAGAATTGTTATAATGAATCATGCCACCATTTTTTATATACTATAAAAACATCTGTGGTCTTGCTGGTTAGAATATTTACTTCAATATAACCGTTTTTCACCCTTAGGACCATTGCTGCATCCCCATGGTCACGTGATCAAAATTTGGACGCTTGGCAACTGACTCATATTTATGACGTTTGCAGGGTCCCGGGGTCACGTGATCACCTTCTGTAGCCTTCCGTCAACCAAAGTCATTGAGGAAGCCAGACTGACTTTCCAATTGTGTTACTAACTTAACAACTGTAGTGATTCACTTAACAACTGTGGCCAGAAAAGTCGTAAATGGGGCAAAAGTCACTTAACAACTGTCTCGCTTAGCAACAGAAATTTTGGGCTCGATTGTGGTTGTAAGTCGAGGACTACCTGCATATTCAGGTTCAGCTATAGAAATTAGCAACAGTTCCAGCAATGTTGGAGGCTGCCTTTACTGTGCTAACCTGTCTGCCCATCAAATTCAGTTTTATTTAAACTGACTTGGCAGCTGTTTTCCTTTAGGGACCTTCAGAACGCAAACATATACTCTGTCATTGGGGAATGAATAAATCCCCAGCAAAGCAGTGACTAATCAAGTTACTGAAATTAATGAGTGCATTGATCAATTTCACTGACTGTGAACCAAATCATGGTTGATTTGGGAGATAAATAGTTTTGCTGCAATTAAATAAGGCAAAGATTGGCAACATGTTCTGAAGATGTTGGGCTCCAAATTCCATTAATTCCAGTTACCCGTTAGCATAAAAATAGAAGTTACACCACAGCTACATCAGAAGCTTCATAGGTTCTCCAGTCCTAATATAAGAATCAACTAAACGATTTTATTATACAGTATCAGTTATCTATGTGAAAAGAACATGGTGAAGATCATTGAGAAAACAAATTTCCCCAGTCTAGCAATATCATATCAAACTGTTAGACAGAAGATACCTAAATTGAGAAGATGGCTTGGAGGGATCTGCTTTGGGATCCAATAGAAAACGTTGCTGTGTGACTGTTGAGTTTAAAGCAACTTTCAGCACAGGATAACCCATCTGCCTGGTCCATGTGTCCATCACGTCTCTGACAGGCTTCCCACTTACCTAAAAACAACAATAGACGGTCATGCTGGGAGACTCTTCCACATCAAAAGTAGAGATTATAACAATTTTCCTGGAGGTTTTTGAGCAATTCATTTATTTGCGACAAACTGATATTAAATTGTAGCTGGCGTTTTGGTGGCACATCGTGTGCTAATGCACATTTTTCTTTCTTTTGTTTGGCTTCTCAGAGTATTTTTAAGATAATCATTTGGTCCTCCAATCAAACTTTGTATTTGTTAGTACCCCAATATAATGGTTATAACATAATTGAGGCTCAATCTTTGGTACTTTTTCTTTGAATCTTGCTTTGCTATTTCAGTTTGTTTACTTTACAAATCTACCCAGAGATTTTTGGCAGTTGGAAGAGAAGTGCACCCAAAAAAGCTGCAAATTGCTATTAGACTCATTAATTCATAGTTCTTTAATTCATTGGTGCTCTTCTTGTCTTTTCCTAATTGTGCCGCCACAACAACATGAAAAGCATGATTAGTGCTAAAATATTATTTCTTCTCTGATGCAAGCTCAGATGCTATTGGTGAAAAGTGTGAACTTACTGGGGATAAAGCAAACATACCTCTTCCATTGCTTGCCAGAAATCATCTGTTTTTGCATTGTTAAAATAATGGTCTTTTAGGTATTTCTGTGGGAGAAGAGAAAATTATTACGTAGGGTTGCAAATTCTGAACATTAGCATTTCCCGTAACAAGTTATATTGATTGCTATCAGAACATCTTTCTTTAACTTGTCATCCTCCAGATCACTCTTTGATCATGGTGCATGGCTTGGTACAGCGTACAACCTCTATACAAGTACACAGATAAAGCACATCACAGAGGCAGCCAAATAAGTGGCTAGTGTTCAATTGTTTTCTAAACAATTCCAGTTGTGACTTTAAAGCTTCAGGGCAATTAATCCTATCTAAAACACCAAAGAAGATTCAGAGGGCTGTAAGTCTCCACTCTGATATATAGGATATGGGTGTACAATGTTGAGTTTTTAAGCATCCAGTTTACAGGATGCGAAATAAATAATTTACAATTATATATTTTTTTTCATAAAAGTTCTCAAGATGAAAAAAAAGCCCTGAATTAAAAAAAATGTCCTTGGTTTAACATAGTTAGAAATGCAACTTTCATGGACCTTAATTGTTTCTCCAAGTGAAAGGTATTTAGGTAAAGTGGATTGCTCTCATAATACTCTGCTTCACCTTCTATTTCAATTATTCAAGAACACAGATCTTAAAATAAGTCCCTCATCCATTAAACAAGACAGGAATTTATAATCTAAGCACACTACGTAGGTAAACAAACAAACAAACAAAAAAGAACACAACTAGAATTCTCTTTCGTTCTTTCTCATCTCTTTGCCCTAATGAACAGCCCAATACGTTTGTCAGGCTAAAAACTGCTGAGTCTCAATGTCACTGCTGGATAAAGAATAGATTTGTCCTTTCAAAAGCATTGAAACTTGCTTTCAGGGACCAATGAGCAGATCCTGCAGACATGCAAGATTCGGAGTGTGGATTTTATTGTCAGAGAACAGCTGTGTTTTTGCTGAATTGTCTTTTAAGTGTTCTCTGCCTCCTCTCTACACACAACACCCCCCTGCCCAGCACTTTTGTTTCTAACTTATTTTTTCCTCTTCTTGTTGAATTTCTACCTGAGGTCAGCTTTTAAACAAAAGAGGTGAGCTTGACAAGAATTGTGCATGGAAATAACTTCTGCTGAATGGGATGCTCTTTATGGCTGTACTATGCCTACTAAAAAATATAAAGGTTGATTAAAGGTACGTATATTTATCATGTGGCAGTTTTTACCAACAGGGCCACAGGTCATAAGACTCTGCTGGGTGGCAAAGAAGATTCTATCACTATAGATAATCCTAGACTTACAACAGCTTGTTTAGTGACTGTTCAAAGTTATAACACCACTGAAAAAAGTGACATGACTATTTTTTGCATTTACAACTGCTGCAGCATCTCTGTAGTCACGTGATCAAAATTGAGATGCTTGGCAACTGGTTCATGTTTATGACGATCGCATTGTCCCAGGGTCATGTGATCCCCTTTTGTGACCTTCTGATAAGCAAAGTCAATGGGGAAGCCAGATTCACTTAGCGACTGTGTTACTAACCTAACAACTACAGTGATTCGCTTAACAACTAAGGTCATAAAACGGGGCAAAACTCACTTAACAAATGTCTCACTTAGCAACTGAAATTTTGGACTCAGTTGTGGTCGTAAGTTGAGGATGACCTGTATTTCTGCTTCAGGTAAATAACTGAGTTCAAGAAAGTCAGTAAAACCTTCCTCCTCTTTTGTCTGTAGAGATTCTCAATCCTCCATCAGGGGTAGTCAACCTTGGCTCTTTTATGACTCGTGGACTTCAACTCCCAGAATTCCTGAGCCAGCACAGCTGGCTCAGGAATTCTGGGAGTTGAAGTCCACGAGTCATAAAAGAGCCAAGGTTGATTACCCCTGCTCCAGGTTGTCCCAAAGGTACTTTTTTTCAAAAGGCAACTGGACTTTCTTGGGTTTTTTTCCCTTTGAAAACATTTTGCTTCTCATCCAAGACGCTTATTCAGTTCTTCTAGGTTCAGCTCTAAACCAATAAAAGTCCAGTGGCCTTTTGAAAAAATGAACCTTTGGGACAAGGTTCTCTTCACTTTGTGGGGGGGATGGAGGACATGGCTCCTCCAATACGTCCCGTAGAGACATGAAGTATGCTAGACTGGATAAGACACTATCTTGGTCATGCTGTGATTGAAAGTTGTAATGGCTGTGCTCTGAATGGTCATTGCTGAGACTGATAGTTATAATTCAAAAGGATATACTGTATTTCTCTTTGTCAGAGCTCATATGGTTTAATGGATAAGATGATAAAACTAGAGAACAAATAGCAAAATTCAAGTCCCTCTCAGCCCTAGAAGCTCATCAAAATTTTTGGGTTAGTCACCGTTCCTCAGCCTACCCTATCTTGAAAGGTGTGGAGGATGTTGTGGGAAAAACTGGAGCAGTTGGATTGCTTCCCATGGAAATCTACCATGGGCACAGTTTCTAGAAATGTGTTCATAGCAGCAACGTGGAAGTTGAAGTGTGTGTGTGTGTACACACATACACACACACACACATATCTACACACACATATACATATACATATACATATACATATACATATACATATACATATACATATACATATACATATACATATACACACACATATGCATATACACATACACATACACATACACATACACATACACATACACATACACATACACATGCATATGCATATACATATACCTATACATATACATATACATGCATTTGACCTGATTTACATGCCAGCAGGAAAATAGAGGCTGTGCAGGAAAAAACATGCACAGCTCTGTGTAGTCTCAAGCTCTTTTCATTTTAGACATAGTTGATATATTCCAGAAATTATCTCTTGGTCTGATACTTTAGAAGTATGGCTTGATAAATCATGTTTTTCTTGGCTCTTCCTACACATTTGAATGTGCTGCATTAGAACAATAGATGGCACTGTTTGTCTCACTCACACTTTGACGCTTTCATGAAGTTAGTTTACACGATTATTCCTAGCTTGAATCAAAGTACAGATCAAATATGCAACCAACTGCAACTTGATCAAGTGCAGAAGGTAGAGAACTGCTTGCACAATCATTATTCCTCAACTAGCAATTATGACAATATTATTGTGGGCTCTGAAACCTTAACTACTTTGATCTCAATTCCATCTCTACCAAACTGATGCTCTTCTATAAGGTAGGCAGCATGTGGTAGCCTGATGTGTGTTTTTTCTTTTAAACAATTTTTTATTCAATTAGTACTCATATATATATATATATATTCAGGGTGGAAACATAGCAGACTAACACATATCCATGAATAGTGGGGATCATGCAGAGAAAAAAGTTTTTCACGAGGATTAGGGGTTTATAGTTATGTTGGAAAGGGAGAAGAGTAATAACTGATGTAATGAAGGCCAGAAGTCACTTCTTTAATTATCTTTTTTCTTTGTTTTCTTTAACTGTATTGTTTCTTGCACTTTTTCTTTTTCTCTTATTCCTTCTTTTATGTATTTCTCATTTTTTCTACTTAATTAAAATTTTTCAATATGAATTATTTTAAAAAGAGATAAGGATGAACAGCCAGCTAAGAAATCATGGAATGAAGACAAGTCCCTGACCATGGTGGAATGAAGAACTGGCAAGTAAACCAAAATTAAGTAAGATAATTTTTCTATATTGAATTTACAAAAAAGGTTCGTCAAAATTTTGAAGGACAAAGGGAGAATGAAATCACATTCTAGAACAGGGGTGTCAAACTGCTGGCCCGCGGGCCGGATGCGTCACAAGGAAACTGTGCCTACCCCATTGCCGGCAATGGGGAAAAAGTTCTGATATGTCGCATGACGTCATGTGATGTCACGAGTTTGACATGTCTGTTCTAGAACATTATTTGAAAAAACTAAAGGTCAAGATTCTTACAAATAAAAAGGAAGGAATATAAAGGTTAAAATAGATTTGTTGTCAATTCTGGTATCCCTTGATAAACTTTTGCTCACATTTGGATTGAAATTATGAGGCTTTATTTGATTATCAATAAGAGATGGGATAAGAGAAGAATAGATCATTAGTTGTATTTTAAGAGTGATAAATTACTAAAATTGTTTATACTTGGGATTACGAGGAAACTCATTTCTTTATTCATTTTTCTTTTCTGCACCTTCTATTTCTTCTTTTTTCTTTGTTGCATTAGTTGTATTTTAATTACAATTTTTAATAAAATTATTATTTAAAAAAAGAATTCTGGGTCCTTTAATCCAAACTTAAATGAAAGGCACTAGGTTAGGGAAGATTATCCCAATTCCTAATTCAAACCCAATCCTCAAAATCTGTTAATTCACAACTAAAATCCAATAATTTATTCCAGAGAAATATGTAGCCCAATAATTACTCCCAGGGAAATATATACAGCTTAAATTATTAATAATTTGGGGTTTAATTTCATCAGAACTTATACCTGGCATCCAGCTCTGAAGTTATCTGGTGAGATCCAGTCTTCAAGCATTCTGAGAATTGACGCTCCCTAGATAGAGAGATTTGATAATATTGATAAATAGTACTCCATATACCATATTCAAGGTGTTCAAAAAAACCAAATGAACAAGCAAACTGTGTCAGTCTGCCTGAATAATACACACTGATGATGTATATTCTATTTCTGTGCAATCGAGAAACGCAAACATAGTATTAGTTACTCTTTGCATTGTGTAAACTCCCTGTCTGAGACTAAATATAACCAAGAATTAGCCAAACTTTCCTAGCCATTTGTTGAAATCTTAATATAACTACTTGTCTTTATACTAGTAGATATAATATAAAAGTATTCAGCCCCAAATTGCTCAATTCAAGCTCTTTTTGGGTTTTTGTAGGTTCACATTGATTCTTTTACATGTTGGGGAATATTGACCCAAAAAGCCCATGGTCTGTTGAAGTTTTGTAGTTTCCAGACTTCACTAGATAGGTGCCAATAAAAGGCAGCACACACACATAGTTTTGCTCAGAATGATTTTAACAGTTACTTATGAATATTAATACTGTGATGAAGATTGCTTCAACTTTGACTTCAGTTCTAAGGAGAACATTTTAATGCAATTCTCACTGATGGACAGAATTATTCTAAACAAGTGAGCATATGTCTGTGTACAGATTAATGTCTTGTCTTTCACTGGTACAATGATCTTCCCAGATGTCTACAAGTTCCTTGACTTCCCACATCTCAATTAAACCTCAGATAAGGGTATTGTGAGGATCATCCTTCTGTGGAGCTTTAGAAGATTGGGAAGTGGGGACAGCCAAGGAAATTTCAGGATCACAGAAATACGTGGAACAGAAAATAATAGAAATACCTTTCTTGATACCTTATAACCATTCAGTAAGTACAAGCACCACAAAAGGAAACTAAAACACACCCTAAGAAAGAGGGACAGAAAATCAGAAACGGGAAGAAAACATCTGGAAAATTGAGGATTTATTGGCGTAAAGTGAAGATATTTTCTGATAAACATGAGCCAGCTCCATTTGGCATGCTGATTCATGTCATTTGTGCCAACTTACACATTTATTACGGTCAGTGGCTTTGTTTTCCCATTCCCATTCCAACTTGAAGCAATCCAGTGAGAAAAGTGTCAGAGTTCAGTAGCAAATAACATGCTTTGCATATTGATGGTCCCAAGTTCAATCACTGGCACTGCCAAGTTAGAGATTCTGGAGATCTGCTAATAATCAAACTAGACAACACTGACAGAAGTAGAGTAACACTCTGATTTGATACAAGACAACTTCCTAATTTACAAATAGATTGCAAACAACTTTGTTTGCCACAATTCAATCCAGATGTGTGACTTCAGCCTTTAAAAATATATGTGGATGATCCAGCTAACACAACTGGTGATTCGTGCCTGGTCATGAGTAAAGCTTATATGATTTGAACCAGAACAAAACCACTGTGCAAGCAAAGTATCATCTTAGTATCATTCATTTTTGATGCACTATAGAGAAACCCAGAGTACCCTATAAAAGAATCAACAGGTAGGAACAATATACACAAGTCTTTGTACACCAGTACAAAGATAATGATTAATTTATTTAATCTTAACCATTTCCGGTGTGCCACTTCATATAATATATATTGACTTAGGCGACTATGCTCTTGCAAACCACTAACTGATGAAAATTACATTGCAGGATATCACAATTATGTAATTATCACCCCAAATACTTTATAAACAGTTTCAGTATAATAACTGAAAAAATAGTTGCATTTACAACTATCACCACATCCACATGGTCATGTGATCAAAATTTGAGGCTTGGTAACCAGAAATTCTGGTCTCAATTGTGGTTGCAAGTTGAAAGACTACTTGTATTGTGTTCCTCTACTATTTAAGGAAATCAAGTTCTCCATCTCTCCTGCCTCTGAGCTGTAACACCACATAGTGCAGATATACACATATATGGAAATGTAAAATATAATCCCACAAGATTCATCTCCTGGATTTTCCCCCAAGATGAAAAAAACAGTTCAAAGATGTTTAACTTCTTTTCTCCCAATTATATGGGGAAACGTAAGCTCTTACTTTGCTGTAGGATATGCCATCAAATACAGATGTTATTTCATCAGGAGAAGACACATCCACCGTAATAGGGTGAGATGAAACCAAAGAATCATCCTTCAGCACTGGCAGTAGGTCATCAATTAAAATTTGATCCAACTGTGGAGAAGAAAGAGTTGGGTGGAAAAATGTTATTATTACCCCAAATGATTTACTTAATTAGCTAAAAGCAGGCTAATACATGAAAAATGATTAGCATAAATAAAATCATGCCAATTGTCAATCTAATCTATCATAGGATAAAAGAAGTTTTGGATTGATAGCTAATTAACAGGATAGAGAGCAAAGAAATAGTTACTGCAGCTCACTTTCTTGATTCTCTAGAATTTTACCTATTTTTTTTAATAAATATATCTATCATATGTATAATCAATACATATTATAAAACAACCAATATTTGGTCAAGCTGTTTTTCTACCATCAAGTTTGATAACTCAAGGAAGCTTCTAAATCAGGGGCATTCAACCTTAGCAACTTTAGGTCTTGTGGACTTCAACTCCAAAAATTCACCAACCAGAAGGGCTGGCTGGGGAATTCTGGAAGTTGAAGTCCACAAGCTTTAACATTGCTAAGGCTGGACATTCCAGTTATAAATTTCAGAGCTAAATAACTTGATGAAACCTATCCTGCTAAAAACAAAAATACTTCAGAGGCTGAACTCCTGTTAAAAAAGACAAAAACCTTCAGTTTATTTGGCAGCAATTCAAAAGTAGTTTGCCACTGTTTTTCCCCAGGATGTTTCATTTAGCCTACAGCCCTGAGATCTGAGTATCTTCTCAGTTAAGTATTAATTAAACCTTATGTTGCCTTGCTTTTGAACTCAAATAAGGTCAGCTAATAGCTATCTCCTGTTGAGCAGCAATACTTAATATTTAGCAGGTTATTTAAATTATTAGAAAGGAATGTTTCTATCAATATTTTAGAGCAGCCTTGATACTTTTAATTCTCAAAATTCCTTAGTAAGTATGGTCACTTATGAGACTTCTGAAGTCCATGTAATTCAGACATGTCAAACTCGTGACGTCACGTGACATTGCACAACATATTGGGAGAGTTTTGCCATTGCTGGCAATGGGTGGGCGTGGCTTCTGTATGACGCATCTGGCCCGTGGGCCGGCAGTTTGACACCCCTGATGTAGTTGGAGGACTATTATAGTCTATTGGGGAGGAGATCCAATTAAACTGATTTATAGATAAAATCCTATTCACAGGAATCTTCTCAACGAACTGTTGGCAACCTGCTTAGAGTTAGATAAGAATAAACAGCACTTAAGGGGGGGATGTTGGACTTAGTTCTCTTGTGACTATGTAGGAATTCTAGGCTGATCCCCCTTTTCACTCTGCAACTAGATCCTATTATCCCTTCTCCTACATTATTCTATAAAACAACAAATATCCAAGTCCATGCTGGAGATTCAACAAGTCGGTGAAAATGTCTGTTTCTTTAATCTTGGATGGACTACTTAGAAGAATAATCCTACTAAGTATTCCCTAATATAGGCTGATTTTCAACAATGATCAGTATTCTAAGATCAGCATTATACTACTGGTCTAAAAATTTTGGGAAATTATCAACCTCTAAGATAAAATGTGTTACAATTACATATTTTAATTAGATTAATTAGAAAATGGGTGAAAGAGGTGCTGGTTGGCTAAAGTTTTCAAGACATTTCACAATAAAGATTTATACACAGGTGAGTATATTTGCCTACAAAGGAGGGAGGTGTCTAATGATCATGATGCCTTGTAACTTCTCGACAGAGTATGGTAGAACAATGAAATTGTTTACACAGTTTCGAGGCATCTTGGCTTCTAAGGGAAAATATCACACAACTGTTCCTTGGAAATGTTAGAGAATGACACTTTTACAAGCCACCAGATGTAACTGTATGGTGCGTAGATCTGACCAAGACAAATGTACCATTGTGTATAAATTTATCTTCACTTTGAGAGTAAAGATTATTATCTAACTGTAATTTATTCCAAGGTACATTTGTCTTGGTCAGATCTACGCACCATACAGTTACATCTGGTGGCTTGTGAAAGTGTCATTCTCTAACATTTCCAAGGAACAGTTGTGTGATATTTTCCCTTAGAAGCCAAGATGCCTCGAAACTGTGTAAACAATGCAGATAACTTCTGCTACATTTGTGGCGCGGTTCCATTTGCATCTCAAAAGTGCAGTATGATGGCAGAGGTAAAAAAAAAAAGGTATACCACCTATATTTTGGATGCAAAATAGGGGATCAGGATAAGGGTTGGGCCCCTCATTATCATTGCATTACATGTGCAACTTATCTGCATTATTGGCTAAACAAGAAGAAAAAGTCCATGCCTTTTGCAGTCCCAATGGTGTTGAGGGAACCCACCAATCATGGTAGCGACTGCTATTTTTGCATGGTTCCCCCAATTGCAAAAGGGATCTCAAGAAAGAAGAAGTGGATTGTGGAATATCCAAGCATTCCATCCACATTGCATCCTGTACCCCATGGTGGGGACTTGCCAATTCCAGATCCACCAGAATCCTACTCTCTAGACTCAGATGATGATAAAGACGATGAGCAGAATGCAGCTGACCCGGGGCCGTCGAATCTTTAGCCCACCATACGCTCCTCCTGAACCACATCTAATTTCACAGAGTGAACTAAATGACCTGGTCAGGAATTTGGAATTGCCTAAGAGTAAGGCAGAGTTACTGGGCTCCAGATTACAACAGTGGAACCTCTTACAGAGTGATGGGGAGAGATTCCACCAAGATATTGCAAGCATGGAGAAAAGATACCAGGGGAAATGGAGTCCTTCCATACTTGCCGATTACTGCTGGAATCTCCCCAGGGATGATCCTACTGCCGTTCACAAGAGAAAAGCCAAAAAGCGCAGTTTAGATACCAAATAAAGATGGAGCCTTGTTGTTTAATCTGATGTTACAGCTTGTCAGTTTTTCATGCAAAAAGCATGAAAATGTTACATGAAAAACCAATAGATGAATGGAAAGTTAGTTTTTGGTATCAAAAAATAAATAAATTTATAATGATCAGTGAGCTACCATTCTCATTGTTATATCACACTTTGCAGAAAAAGTATGGAGCATACAGTAATCTCACTTTCCCCTCGTAATTTTGAATTATTTTGATGCAATTTTGACCTGAAGCCGTGTCTTGGAAACTGGAACCAATTAATACTCAGGACTTAATTTTCCTGTATTAGTGACCCAATTCTGGTAAACTTGAGCTACTTTCCTTTCTGAGGTTTTCTCCTTGTAGACCATTTAAAAAAGACTAGAAATCAGTGGTTGGGGAGCAGAACATGGGGCTTCAAAATTGATTTCAGGCAGCCCGTTGTATTTTTGGGAAACAAATTCAAACAAAGTGGAACAACTTGCCTCCAGAAGTTGTGAATGCTCCAACACTGGAAGTTTTTAAGAAGAGATTGGACAACCATTTCACTGAAATGCTATAGGGTTTCCTGCCTAAGCAGGGGGTTGGACTAGATGACCTCCAAGGTCCCTTCCAACTCCATTATTCTATTCTATTCTAACATAATTCTTGGGCTAAACTGTCCATAAACATGAGTAATACTTTCTTTGTTCATATTCTATAATTATACAAAGATAAGAATTCTTACCATTTGCCATTTTTCTTCTGTAGCATTTACACCCATAAACTCAAAGAAACTGGCAAATCCTTCGTTTAGCCATAAGTCATCCCACCAATCCATGGTCACAATATTTCCAAACCACTATAATAAGTAAAAAAAAAAAAAGCAACGAGCATTAGGAAAGGTGAATAGGAAGAGAAATGTATCATCCATAGCAGAGCTGTTTAGATATTGTGCAAGAGATTTTCTTAGTTTGATGGAAAATAACACAAAGGCAACACAAACCGCAGTTCAAAAATCCAGTTTTTTCCAACTTCAGTTTTGCATTTAGATGGGTAATAACTGAGAACTGGATATTCTTGGTGGCAAAATTCTATCATTTGAAATGAAAATTTCCTGCTTTCTCTTCTCAAATACCAACCTAAACCATTCTAACTTGCCCATATGTTGAGCAGGTATAATTATGGTGCTTTATTATTAAAGTTTTATGTTTTCCTGATTCCAACCAGTTTTGCTAAATGTTGACTGCATTTGCATAAATTTTTATCATATTGGGAATCAGCATAATCTCCTTCCATGTTCATGAACATCTTGTTTTAACTTAACTATAACTATAAGGAGCCCTAGGTTTTTTTCATTTCCATTTTCAATATATTTGGAGTATATATATTGTATAAGTATATATTGAAGATATATATTACCACTTGGCAGCTCTAGTTATAATAATGATTTGTCTGAAAAAACACAATCAGAACTCAAAGCAACTGAACTACTCAAGATATCGTCAGAACAGTTTGGGAAACTACGCCTTTTCAGTCATTTATTGACATCTCTATTTTACAAATTTTATTAATTTTCAAATAAACATATGGACAAATAATACAAATATGGTGCATATCATTAGAAAAACAAACACATAAAAAGGCCTACTCAGTAAGTATTCAGAAATAACCAGTGGTCCCCCCCCCTGCATCCACACTCCCTCAACCTTCCTACCTACTTCCCTCTTCCTTCCTCCCCCTCTTAACCACGACCTCTCCTCTTTCCTCCTTTCCAACTATCCTACACATCCCATCACCTTCTTTTCTACCACCTCGGATGCAGTTTAGGGGTACTAGCCAATCATCTCCTCTTCTTAAAGACAAACATTTACATTATATTTATAAATACACCAAATTTTATATAATTCTACCCCTTCATCCCCTTCCTCCCTCCCCCCGTCATTTATTGACATCTCAATTCAGCCTTTTTGAAATGCATTTTCATTTAAAAATGATAATTTTTAAAGGCTCATCTATTCCGTGGGGCTGG